CAGTCCATGGATGAGTACATTTGGGAGTTTTGCAGCCTGGCCGGGAAGCTGAGAGGGTGGCCAGAACACCCAGTGGTCCATCAGTTTTGACATGGGCTAAACAGAGAGAGGTACCAGAATTGCCTGCCCTGGGGATCCCTGACGATCTCCAGGCATGGTATCAACTGACCACAACAGTGGAACTGGATCCGATGGAGTATCGGTGACAGGCTGTGCCAGAGAGCCACCCCTGCCCAAGCCAAGAGAAGCACCCGCCAACACATAGAGGGGGAGGGGCTCTCCTCCGATCATTAGAGAGGGTATGCGTCGCCCTGCAGGAGCTTGCTTCCAATTGGGAAAGAAGGCCACAGAGCAGCCAATTGCCTGGCCTGCCAGTCCACGTCGATGTCAAGGACCCCCCAGCCAGGAAAACCAGAGCTGGTTTTGCCTCTTCAGTCCCGAGATGTGTACTCAATAAAATTTATCTTTTATGGCACTTCAAAGCCTGGAAGATTTCTTGATTTTGAGTTCGCTAGTTGGACGGTTGACATTATCATTTCCTTTATGCTTGTGTCACTGATAAACTTCAGCTTTGGTGACCTCATAGGAAATGATTTTGATTTGGATTGGTTTGGTTTGTACAAAAGGTGTACAAAAGCAATACTTCCAAGCACACCCACTGCATGCCATCACTATCTGATACTGCAGGTTATTTCAAGTAGCCACTATTTGCGGTTGCAAATTCTCATTTGAAGAAGCATCTTCCAAAGAAAAAAGGCACAACTGCGATTCATAAAATTCTTTGGGGTAGGATTTGCAGCCACACTGTAAGCTTTTATCAAGAGAAACTGCAAACTGGAATTTCAAAAGAAGAATGCTAAACATGCTGCATGGACGGGAGGCAGTTCATTTCAAGAGCAAGACATCTGCCCTTGAAAGGTAGCTACAAATGGGGTTACAAAGGCTAGAAATATTTATAGGGAAGGTGATCTCTGTGGTGGTGTAGAATATGAGTGTGTGTGTGTCTTATATGATGTTTAATTACCGTATATACTCGAGTATAAGTCGACCCGAGTATAAGCCGAGGGACCGATTTTCCCACAGAGAACTGGGAAAAATTGGTGACCCGCGCATAAGCCGAGGGGGCATTTTGGCTGTTCCTCCCTGGCCGCCTCGGCCCCCCCAGTCCTGTCAGTGAGCGCCCGGCAGGGCGCAGCGTTGCCAGGCCTCCCCCCTTCGCGCGAGGCTTCTGGCATTCCCCCTCGCGCTTGGCTGCGGCTCGCCGCTCGCTCCCCCTCCCCTGGCGCTGCGCTGCGCCTGCTTGCCTGGCGGCGGCGTCCGCAGCAGCAATGAGCTGGGCAAGCAGGCGGAGCGCAGCGCCGGGGGGGGAGCGAGCGGTGAGCCGCCGCCGCCGCCACGCTCATTGCCGCTGCCGCTGCCGCCCGGTTCGTTCCCGCCGNCCGCCGCTCGAGACGCTGACTCGAGTATAAGCCGAGGGGGGCATTTTTCAGCCCCAAAAATGGGCTGAAAAACTCAGCTTATACTCGAGTATATACGGTATGTGAACGTGCAACTTTGGTGAGGAAAATACTTTAATAACTTTTCTTGTGCTTAGAGATACTTTTCTTTGGTCTGTGGATTAAGTTGGGGTAACTCATTTGTGGTTCAAGAAAGTTTGTGTAAAGGATTTCCCCTGTTTGTTAATCTTACTTGATTCAATCAATTTCAGCTCAGCTGCCAATCATTTAGGCCTGATTCAGCAATCTTTTCCAACATTGTATTTAACTTTGAGGAATCCTTGGTGCTCTCAAGCGTGGTTGTTTTCTTCTGGACATTTCATTACCCAAACCTGGTAACAGCATCAGCGCTTATCAGCCCTCATTTCATCTTGAGCTACAATATTTTCCTTTATGAGTATTTACCTTTGTTTGTAACATTGTTTCTAGTCTTACCAAGTGTGGATTTTGTTAATGGTTAAGGGATAATACAGGAATAGTTGGTTTGATTTTAAAATATTTTCTCTATAAAAGAACATTTTTCACACTTTGATGTGGCAAAAGGGAGCAATGATTAAATATATTGTATAATGGTACGCTGGAATGACTCTGGGAGACCAGAACTGCAGAATAGACAACTAGTGTGTAGAAGCTTTCTCAGTCCACAGAAGAGAGGGCGTGGGAAATGTTTCAGAGTGGAGTGGGAGTGGAGTGTGGGGTGGGGTGGAACAGAATGGAATGGAACAGAACAGAACAGAATAGAATTCTTTATTAACCAAGTGTGACTGGACACACAAGGAATTGGCCTCTGGTGCATAAGCTCTCAGTGTACTTACAAATATGCAGTGTACATACAAACATAAGCTCTCAGTCTGCATACAGTATATAAGCTTTCAACCTACAAAGTGATAAATGATAAAGTGTAAATCATAAGATACAATCATAAATCATAAAATACAAACAACAAAGTGATAAGTCATACCAGTAGGAGAAGGTAATAGGAAAGATGAAAAGAATAATAACAATACAGCTCTACTACGTGAGTAAATATCCTTAGGCATAAGATAGTGGTGTGAGAATTAGGTGTTTAGCAGAGTGATGGCATGGGGGGGGGGGGAAACTGTCTTTATATCTACTGTAGTTGTGTTTTGGCATGCAATGTCCTGTAATGGCTTCTTGAGGGGAGGAGTTGAAGCAGTTTATGTCCAGGATGTAAGATATTTTCTCAGAAAGTTTGATCCTTTCCTGTCTCTCATTCATATCTTGGTTCAGGAATTCTTGCAACCTTTACCCTAAAGATCCTGCTTTGCATGTGATGAGCAGAGATCCCAGAGCTAGCTAAGAACCCAGATCATTGGCATGGAAACTACAAATTGTAGCTAGAATTGTTCAGAATCAAAGATCCTTAGATTATTTGCAGAGTGAAAGTACAGTAGTTGCACCTTCAAAGAGATATTAAATTCCAGGTCCTGACAGATCCATGGCACTCTCTTGAGCTTGATGGGTTGTTTTTTTTTTGCAGACATTTCATTACCAAACTAGGTAACATCATCAGTGCTAGAAGGGAGTGGGGTTTGCTCTTATTTTTATATACTAGTGACTTGCCTTATCAGTGTTGGTGGGAGTGTTCTTAGTGATTTCTTGGTTAGACTGTTATTTATTGTTAGTTTTTTTTTTCTTGCTGATAGTTCCTTGATTGGGGCATTGTTTATTTCTTGATTATTGGTCTAATGTTCATCTTTGTGTTAATCTCTGCTCATATGGGTGTTATTGCTGATGATGAGTGTTTGGATCTTTCTGTTTTTTGGGGGGGGGGCTTTTTGATTGGCTCTTTTGAGGATATTGAATTCTAGCATGAGCAGCTGCTTATTAGGAGGACCTGGTTTATGTTCCCAAAGATTAAGAAATTCCTATTTTTAGTAGAATAGGAGTTAAGAGAGGTTCTTACAAGGTGCCAAAGAAATGGGATTCTCTGATGAAGAAGCAAGCACAGAAAGGCAAGTTCAGAAACCTGAGCAAATGGGAAAAGAGCGAAAGGAAAGCTGATCTTTTCACAAAGGTCACAAAGATCAGCCTTCCCTAATCTGGGTATTTTCTTTATGTGCTGGAATCCCATTTAGTTAAATAATGTGGGAATATCTAAGGGGATTCTCATCCAGGTCATAGTTGTCCCAAAGATGCTTTTTCAAAAGACAACTTGACTTTGTTTTCTCTTGAAGATGTTTCACTCCTCATCCTTCAGTCAGAACAGAAGAAGCTTCTTGGATGAGAAGTGAAACATCTTCAAGGAAAAACGAAGTCCAGTTGCCTTTTGAAAAAACACCTTTGGGATAATGTGGGATCAATGTTCGAAAGACATCTGAAGAGTAGCAAGTTATGGAAAAGAGCAGACTGTTCATCAGGTCCTGTTGCATGAATTTTTGCTTTGTGGTGATATTTGGGTATAGCATCTACGTCTGAGTAGTTTCTCCCCATGCCTAAGCCTAAAGGAGATTAGATTTGAATCTCTCATAGAATCTGGTGGTGTTCAAGAGCCTGATTGGCTGGATGCAACCTGTTATGGGCCCTTCTTCCACTGTCATCCAGAGAACAGGACACAGGAGGAGTGTGGTAGAGCTGCACAGATATTTATAGATCTCAGCCAGCACTTTGGATTTGGTTTCAGCTCCCAGGACCCATCAGCACATTCCTGAGACTGCTGGGAATGTGTCTCCGTTCCAGGTCACTCTCTCCCACTTTAAATCCCCAGGACCATCTCTTTAGTTTATGAGCACATAGTTCCCCTCAACCTCCCCCTCCAAATCTTTTTATGCCATACTCCAGTCTTTTCCTTATTCATGCCCTTCACTATTTTGATACTCTCACAAACTTTCCTTTCAGTCTGTCCAGCCTTGCACTTCATCCAACACCAGTAAATCAAAGGAGGAAATGTTGACAACGTATCTATGTTGTTTTATTTTAGTGCAAGCTTAAATAAAATGGTCATGTTACAACATTTAAATGAAAATAAATACACATAAACATAAAAGCACTTACAACAAGGTACTTGTTATTGCTATTCTTTTTTCGTTTCCCCTAACCCTAATTTCTAGACTGTTTGGTTTAGTGAAATCCAGCTATCGGCTCTAAATGCAAAAAAGTCCTTTTCTCCTTTCAAGGACAGATTCCTTAGTCTAATTCCAGACAATCAAAGAAACCAGAATTCTGCTAGATTACACACTTCTGAGTCTGATACCAACCTAGGAGCTGTAGCTCATATTTCTCATTGCACTAAAACTTGCTGGCTTCTACTTTGAGGGACTAAGGTGCAGTTGCTCTGAGCAGCTAATAATAGCATGGTGGTATGGCAAAGAGTTTAGTTCCCTAATGTTGCTTCCCAACTCATTCCAGCCCAGTGTTGTCATATAAGGGCATGGCAGGAAGCCCATGGCTTGATTTTCACATCTATCCTGGAGGCCAGGCCAGGCCACCATTGGCTGTGAGCTGAAGGGCTAATCTAGGCCAGCTGCAAACGTCACTCACATAAGCCCTAACTGGAAACAGTATTCTACCCCTGAGTTCTCCTTGTGTGCTGTCTGCCTTTCCTGATTGCCTGTCTTTGGGATCTCCACTGAGAATTCTGGGTGCAGGCAGCAGGGCTCTTACCATGGCTTCCTGGAAAGTCTGTATGCTTGGCCTTCTTCTGGTCCTGCTCTGTTCATTCCAGCTTCCTAGAACCCAGGGTCAGCAACACAATCACCACAGCGATGTAGAATACCATGGAAATGAACATCATCATCCCAAAGAGCATCACCATGATGCACACCATTATCAACATACCAAAGATGATGGTGCTGATGATGGCCATGCTCACCATCATGCTGCTCAGTATGCTGGACATTACGAAGGAAGTCATCATTCTCAACATGATGATGATGATGATAATGAAGAGGAACACCATCATCCTCATAGTACAGATGATCACATTGACCATCACCACCATGATGAGAGTAATGATGATGATGATGATGACAGCCAGAGTAAGCACCATCATGATAAACATCATGGAGATCAACATGATGATGATGATGATGACCATTATCATCAGGGACATCATGAAGACCACCATCACCATCACAGTGACAAAGAGAGACACCATCATGGAGACCATCAGCATCAAGAAGACAATGATGATGAAGATGATGATGGTAGTGGTGCTGAACACCAGCACCACTACCATCATCAAATGCATGATGATGATGATGATGATGATGATGATGATGATGATGATGATGATGATAAAGATGATGATGACAGTCAGTCGCATCATGACTATCACAGCCACCACCACCACCATAAAGGTAATGACAGTGATGACAATAATGATAATGAAGACCAACACCACAATTATAGACATCATGGAGATCATGACAATGATGATGATGATGATGGTGATGATGATGATGACAACGATGATGATGATGACAATGATGATGATGATGACAATGATGACGATGACAACAATGATGATGTTCGTCATCATCAACGCCATCACCAAAAGCATGCTGCTGTTAATGATGATGATAAGCATCACCATCCCCATAAAGAAAAAGAAGAAGAAAAAGAAGAAGAAGAAGAAGAAGAAGAAGAAGAAGAAGAAGAAGAAGAAGAAGAAGAAGAAGAAGAAGAAGAAGAAGAAGAAGAAAGCAATGATAGTAACGAAGATGAGGATGATGAAGATACAGCTCACAAATCTACTCACAAAAGTGGTTATCATCACCATAGGAAACATGATGATGAAGAAGAGTCTGATGAAGTACCTTCAAAGGAGAAGGATAAGCATAAGTATGAACGACACAGACAAAAGCGTCATAAACATGAGATCCATGAAAAAGCCAAAAAGCACCATGGAGAGGAAAAAGGTGAGAAATGTGTGAATATTGTGGGGAGGTATATGATTGATGTGTGTTTTTTCTTAGGGAAAAACCTAAGGGAAATCTTATCTAACCTGGTCTCCAGCCATCAGAGAAAAAGTGATTTGATATCTACATCTGGAGGACAGCTGGTTGGGGAAAAATGTGTTGGGAAAAGCAGATATGATGAGGAAAGCCAGCAATACATGCTTCAGCTGCCATCATAGCCTCCATTAATATTTCAGAGAACCTGAAAATTTTGTTTTTCCTGACCTATGTTTCTCAATGAAGCAATCCAATCTCCAAGACCCTATTCCAGCTTTCACCACTTGACAGCCCAAGTGTATAGGACTAGAGCACTCTTAACAGAATAATAAAATAACAAAGTTGAAATGGACTTTGGAGGTATTCTAGTCCAGCCCCGTGCATAAGCAGAATGCCCCATACCATTCCAGACCAGTGGCTGTCCAGTCTCTTCTTAAAAGTCTCCAATGATGGAGCACCCAACTTCTGAAGGCAACTCTTTTTACTGGTTAATTGTTCTCACTGTTAGGAAATTTCTCCTTAGTTCTGAGTTGCTTTTCTCCTTGATTAAGTTTCCATCCATTGTTTCTAGTCTTGCGTCCTGGTGCTTTGGAAGATAAGTTGATTCCCTCTTCTTTATGGCAACCCCTCAAATACTGGAGCACTGCCATCGTGTCCATAATTGCTATAATTATAGCAATTATAGACATGCTATAATTGAATTAAAATTGAATTGATTTATAGCATTGAATTATAGCACGGCTATAATTCAAAGATCATGCAATCTGTAAATAATAGAAACTAGATCTACTACACTACTCTGGTAAGGTGAGGTAAATAACCTAATGCTTTTATTCTTGGCTCTCAGCCTCTTTCCAAATCAAATGAACTTTATACTTTCTTCAGAAAACTCAAAAATTCAACCATCTCCTGTTCAGCCCCTACTCTATGGGCCTCATTTCCTACTCCATTTATAGTCACTCTCTAGAACTATCCTATCAAAAAATAAAAAATCAGAGATCAACCATAATGGAGTTGTCTCTGTGTCTCTCTTTTCATTTGAAGATGAGGATGAGGATGAGGATGAAGAGGAAGAGGAAGAAGGTGAAGACAATGAGTATGAAGCAGGTTCTGTTTGCCACTACTGTGCCTTCTGCAAGGTAATGCAGGAAAATCTTTGCATGTGATTTTGATAGGTTATTATTCCCAGTTAGGAACCTAATACAAGTTGCTGACCTCTACTGCCCCCATTAATATGGGCTATGGTGAGAGCTGGTAAAACTTTTCATTCAGCAAATTCTGAAAGATCACTGGTTCTTTATTCCTATTCTAATACTAAAGTGATATGACTTTTCATTCCCTCTTGAAATATAGTTTCCTTCTCATCCCCTTTTAATTTGGGAGCATTACGTAACACACCCTTCACAAGGATACCTTTTTACCTCTAACTTTCCACCAATGCATTGGGGACTATACTGTGGCATGAATTCTCCTCCCTTACTCTCCTTATTTCTGGTTAGGTCTTTGCACAAATGAAGCAGTATATAAGTCTATTTGATTTGCTTCTTACCAATAAAGCTGGTCTGCTCCTGATTTGAACATTCTGATTCAGAGACAGTAATTTGGCAGGGGGGAGATCAAGTCACAAAGGAATGTGGTACGTGTAGCTTGTCCTTCCCTTGCTATACACACTTTTTCTGCTTATATAGTGCACACATGTGAAGTAGATGAGCTCAGAATCCTCTCTGAAAAAAACAATGAAATAGTTTTAGTGCTTTTTTTCTAAAAAAAAAAAAAAAAAAAAGGTGCTGGAACTCACACACGTCATACAATTCGCCTTGCCTACCCTACAAGGTTCCATCCCAAAAAGGTGCTGGAACTCCGTTCTGGGGGTTCTATGACAAAAAAAGCCCTGGTTTTATATGTCTATGTATGTCTGTATACACATGCATATACACTCTTAACATTTTCTGATAATTTCCCCTGGTCACAGATTTACTGTCCATACTTCCTAAAATTGTTAAACTGTTGCAACCCCAGCAAATTAACTTGTTTCTTTTTCCCCCCTCTTAGCTTCAGATTTATTCTAGAAAGTTACTGAAAATCTTTGGTATATATTGATGCTGTTTAAAAGTGTATTAAATAGCCTTGCCTGGAAAAAGAACAGAAAAGAAACTTGAAAAATCCTTTAGTTTAAGATTGTTTTATTCAAATTATGTGTTAATTTTTCACTTATATTATTTACTAAAAGATTACATATGAGTATATGTGTATATATGTGTATGGATATAAATATATTGATTAGGTGAAGAGATGGAAATTCTGGTAGATGATAGATAATAGATTCAGTAGAGCGAGAGAAAAAGAGAGAGGGACAGACAGACAGACACCTTGGGCTATATATCGGGCTGGATTCGATGAAGAAAAGATTATTCAGCATGCATGTGGCTGAGCATGTCAGCACCTCTTTAAATCAGATGTGAAACCAAGAAAAGATGCAGCTTCCTTAAGGCATTGCCAATGGATGCAACATGATCATTGCAGACCTTTAATATATACCTGCAATTTGGATATCTATTGAATATGGCTTTTAAAGATATTTCTATTTTGTTAGTATACATATGCGCTAAAATACTAGCATATCTAAATTTAGATTATTTATTTGTATGTGTGTATGTACACATTTACAAATATACAGTATAATAGTGAACTGCTGGTCCCAAGCCCTGCTCCTCAACAAATGCTTATACTGCTGAAGTTCAAACAGTGCATCAATAAGTGTCTATTCTGAAACCTAAACTTTTCTATTATTATGGTTATTGTTAAGTCCTTGGATAAATGGCGAAGGAGGCAATTCATGTTACAGAACAGATCTTTATTTCTCTCAATCACAACAACCAACCAACAAGAGCAGAGGCACACAGGCCTTCTTTTATACTCCCGGATCCCTGGGCAACAACAACCAATAGCAGGCACCCTTTTTCCCGCCTTGCGCATGTGCGCAAGGCTGGCACCGCTCAGTCTGGTCCCGGGCAGCTTTTGCAATGCCCGGGACTCTTGCAGCATCCCGAGCCTGCTTCTGCAGGCTCCGGACACAACACCCCTCCCCCCTAGATAAGACAATGCTGCGCCCAATATGTACGCCACCTCTTGTAGAGCAGCGGTTCTCAACCTATGGGTCGCGACATTTGGGGTCAATCGACCATTTCACGGTGGTCGCCAAGCAAGGCTGTCCGCCATTTTTTTCCCCTTTTCCGGCGGGTGCCTTACTTCCCTTGAGCTGGGCCAGCTGGTGTTCGGCCTGCTCCGTCTCTGCTGCTTGCCAGCTATGCCTCGGCCGGCGCAGGGGGCGGAACCACGCATGCGCGGCGCTCCCGGGCAGGGAAAGTCCTTGACTTACGACCGGTTTAGTCCTCAACTTACGACTGGTTTAGTCCTCGACTTACGACCGGTTTAGTCCTCGACTTACGACCGGTTGGGGGTCGTGGCATTAAAAAGGTTGAGAACCACTGTTGTAGAGTATGTGTTTGCTGGCTTTTGCATCAAATGCACAGAGTGTGGAAAAGCATGGGTACTGCTACCGTTTTGGGAATAAATGAACCCCAAGCTTTCCCCATGTGAGACTAACCAACCTGGACCTCTTGTCCAGGTCCCTCTAACCCTTGCTCCCCTCACGTAATCTGCAAGGTATTTGGGCAGGCCCTTGACCCATAGTGACCTTCTCGGACCTGGGGAGATTAAATGGTCCCCTCCATTGCTTTCCACACTAGGTGGATTAAAATGCGGCTGCCCCCTTATCTCAGGCTGCCCTGTGGCTACTGCCTGACCTCCCTGCTCGCCTACCAGGTTCAGGAGGCCAGGACTTTGCTGTCCCCCGTACCTGGTCGACCTGTCTGTTAGTAGGCTGGCTGAGCCCTCTGAACTCAACTCCTTGTCCCCTGAAGGGGTGTAATTCCCCTGGCTCCTTTCTGTAGTGATAGGGTCAGGAGTTACCTCCCTGTTAGCCCTAATGCGTGTGGACTTCCTTCTGGGAGCAATTGCTGAAAGTGGCAAGCCCCCAAGCTGTTGTGCCTGCTCTCTTGTATGCTGTGAGTTATGAGGATGCTCCCAGTCAGTCTCCCTGTCTGGAGTATTGTTGTTGAGTTGTGGATAGTGGGGATACCTCCGGTGTGACTCCCAGGCCGGAGAGTGTGTGGGGGTGTATGCTTGCCCCCTACCCCATGAATCCCTATTTGGAGCACTTGCTGAACTTGGGGATTGAGTACCCATGGTGTCCTCAACAGCCAGTGTCAGCTGTTGATACTGATCCCCAGAATGCACTCCCCACCCCTCCTCACCCCCAGAGCAGGCTGAGGAGTGAGAGGGGAAGAATCCAGCCTCGCACGCAGCTGATCAATATGGCGGCGAAGTACGCAACCGTCATCCAAAGACACTTCATAGGACAAGGGCCCCGAGACCTTGCAGACCACCGCAGGGACCCAGAGGTGTCCAGGCCCGTAGTTCCTGGTCCAGACCGGATCACCCACGTGAAGGATCCATGGTGCACGTGGATGTGACACCTGTGATGCTATGCACTCCGGATGCAGCCTGTCCAGTTTAGTCACAAGCTGGCAACCCCAATGGAGTTCAGCCGGGCTCTTACCCATGGCAGTGCAAGGAGTAGTACAATGGGCTAGAAGAAAGTCAGCCAACCTGTGATGCCAGTTGCCATAAGTCAGTTTCTTGAGAGCAACCTTGGCGATGCGGACCATCCGTTCAGCCAAACAGTTGGTGGAAGGGTGGAAGGGAGCTGAAGTTGCATGGCGAATCATGTTGGCCTGTAGAAAAGCCTGAAACTCAGCAGAAGTAAATTGGGGCCATTATCTGAAACCAAGACATCTGGAGGACCATGGGCAGCAAAAATACTTCTCAACACCTGGATGGTCTTGGCAGTAGTGGTGGATGACACAGGAACAACTTCCAGCCACTTGGAATGGCTATCCACAACAACCAGGAAGAATTGCCCCTGAAAGGGCCCAGCATAATCTATATGTATTCTAGACCACGGGGTGTGTGTTTCCTCCCACTTATGAACAGGGGCCTGAGGCATTTAAGGCCTGGACTGCTGACACTCGTGACACCCATGTACCTGGGCCTCAATGGCCTTATCGATGCCAGGCCACCACAAATGGCTGCACGCAAGTGCTTTCATCCTGACAATCCCAGGGTGACCCTCATGTAAAGAAACTAAGATTCTAGACCTCAATGAGGCCAGAATCACAACTCTAGAACCCCAGAGGAGGCAGCCATTGAAAGTGGACAACTTGTGTCTCTTGACCCAGAAGCGTTGGAACTCCTCCTCTGGGCACCTGTCAGGCCATCCTGACAGCACCCATGTTAGCACGCGTTTAAGCAGTTTAATCAGTGGCAGTTTCAGCAGCCACATCCCTAGCGTTTAGGGGAGACTCAGGCAAATCCTGAATGGACAGGATATGAACGGCAGGAGCAGGAGCAGGCTCCACAGTTGACAAGGGCAGTCTACTTAGGCCATCAGCATGACCCATTTCCTTTCCAGGTTTGTGAACTAGCGTGTAGTCATAAGCTGACAAAAAAATGGACCATCGCAGCATGCGAGGGGAAAGGATGTGTGGGGTCTGTTTGGACGTGGTAAACAACCCCAGCAAAGGCTTATGGTCAGTAAAGACCGTAAAATGGTGGCCATAAATAAAATCATGGAACTTTTTAATTCCAGCCACAATAGCCAAAGCTTCCCTGTCAATTTGAGCATAGTTGTGCTCAGCAGCAGACAAGGTCCTGGAATAATATGCCACAGGGACCTGAGTCCCATCAGCTGTCAGATGGCTAAGCACTGCACCCACACCATAGGGGGAAGCATCACAAGCCAGACACACTGGCAGCTTCTCATTAAAATGGGCTAACACTGTATTGGATGTAAGCAAGGCTTTAACCTCATTGAAACTGGCTTCATGGACTTTGGTCCACTGTCAACAGGCATGTTTGTCTAAAAGTCTGTGTAGGAGTTCAGCTATAGCAGCTTTATGAGGCAGAAAAGCATGATAGAAATTCAATAAGCCCAAAAAGGCTTGTAATTCACCCTTAGACTTAGGGCTTGGGGCCTGCTGAATAGCTTTGAGCTTAGCATCAGAAGGGTGGATGCCCT